TCCTAAAAATAACAATTTGGATTAAAAATTTCAACAAAGTAAAATAAACCTATTGTGTTGATTTCCCTTAAAAAAAGATACAATTTTAAAAGTTTACATTTCAAGAAATATCAATTTTATTTAGTATAGTAGTATAGTATAGGAATAGTATATATAGGAAAGATTATCAGCTTAAGATAATTATTTTTATTTAACTAGTTATACAGTTAACTTTTAAAAAAAGGAGAAATTCAATAATTATACTACAATTGATTCCTCCTACAATCTTTATTTATTTATTTGCTCTCTCTTTACTCGGAGCTTTTATTGTTATTTAAAATTTAAAGCATTTCATCTTCGGTTATTTTTTCAACAGCTTTCTAGCTACAAATAAAGCCAATTATATTCAATTCGTCACAATCTTGATGACAGTTCGTTCCAACAGAATGCGTTTAATAACTTATTTCCCAAACAAATAAAGTTAAAATGTTTTATGGCATTACTTTAAACAAAGTAGGTATTAAAGACAGCTTCCCAAAACCTTTAGCAATATGGAAAACCACCAGGTAAATGCAATTTTGGCAAGGCGCATGTGGCTGGCATAAAGTTTTACAAGTTTAATTATGCAGACAGCAGCTCAATGCAGACAATGAAGTCCAAGCAGAGCGGCCATATGGATGGCCAATTAAAAAAGTTAAGTTTTTCGCATATTCATATCAAGGACGGACCCACAGAAAACACAATCCGTGGCGGTACTCAAAATGAATTTTTTAATTTATAAAAGCGTTAATTGCAAGCGGCCGGGACAAAAGAAGAGGTCTTCTCATTAACTGCACAAACGGGGAAAAATTAAAGCCCTCTCAGTCCATTGTGCCGGTTGCTCCCTTCCCTTTTTGCCATCCTGTCACCCTCACCTCACATACAATTAAAAAGTCAACACCTTGAATTGAACTCACACATTTAATGGCTTGAGGCCACGGGCTGTGATGTCCCACCTTCGAAGAAAACAAAAAAGTCGCACGCTGCGAAAATTTTCACAGTAATTAGCAAAGTTTTGCGCCTAAAAACAAAAGGGCATCCGGCTTTTTTGTAGGCGCCTGTCAGACGGGCGGATCTAATGAAAAGCCCTCTCGACCCCAAGTACGAGTGAATGATAGCCCGGCTATAGTTGGTTCCGACCAAACCGAACAACCAACAGCAGCCAGGGCTTAATCCAATTTATTTCAAAGAACTTTGAGGGCTAGATGAGGGGAGAAATTTGCATAACTTTGATATGAGCAGCCATGTGTTTTTGGTCTGCGATAATCACATCCACTCCAGACTTGAACAATATTTTCAAGAGCCACTCAGTCAAACTGATTGCCGCTGAGAATGAATTAATTTATTGCATGCACATAAAGAAAAATATAATAATATAATACTTAATAAGTGGCTCTCTAAGTAAATTTGTATGTATTTTAAATATTTTTCATCTAAAAGTCTTCATAAAGTAAAAAGAAAAGTAAAAAATACAAATAAAATAACACAATAAAATAAAAGACTTGATTTTCTTTTTTCTACAAACTGTCTTTTAAAACGCAAAGTCAAATTATAAATGATACATATTTAAAATATTAGTTGGCTTTTATATCCATAGATAAAAACGTTTTAAAGCTTATTACTTGCAATACAAAATACTTTGAATAATTTTTTCTTATAGTGTACGTTTCAAAAGTATTACTCATTCAGTGAGGCGACACCTCTAGCCATATTTCAATTATATAAGGCCGAGTCACTTCCATCGTTTCGCTTCGAAGCGCCAACTTTCAAAATGAATAAATTGCGAAGAAAAAATGGCTAGCTTTTACCCTCAAATGTATGCAATGGAATTCATTTATTTACGCCTACGAAGCAATAAAAAATTCCACAATATAACAAATTAGCATTGAAATGGATACGAATTTTTCATACAATTGACAGGTTTTTATCGCTCAAGCTTGAGCCAGGGGTGACGCATCAGGGAGCACGATCTGAAGCTGGACCGCCGTGGGTAAACATCACAAATCAGAGGGAATGTTTATGCATGAAGCCAAAAGAAGAGAATTTCATAAAAATTAAATTGTGCATTCGTGCAGATTTGTACGCTGGAATTATGACACAATGTGCGACAGTAATAAATGCTGGGGCAGACAAAGGGCAGTCGAGGGGTGAGCGGTGGGTAAAGGGTTTGGTGTGTTGCCATGGAAAACCAAAAACCAACTCGGGCAAAACAATTTTCACACGTGCAAGTTGCAAGAGGTGCAGGCAAGCTCATAAATTGCCACCGCCATGCTGATGATTATGATGATGATGATGATGAAGGGGTGGCAGTGGAGTGGAGTGTGTGGGGCACAGTAAAATCCTTAAAGAGCCGCGTCTCCCTTTCAATGTCTGTTCTGCGGGTTCCCTCTGCTCAAATGCAAATGCAAATGATCAAAATAATTACATGTAGAACACTTTTTTACCGCTCCTCGCGCACAAAAGACAAACGCAGTCGCAACTCCAGAATGATGAAAATGAGTTTTCTTTACAAACAAAATTAAAAGTAAAAGGGCGAAGGACGAAGGACGTAGGACGATGGAGATGGAAAGAAAATTGCACACCAAATTCAACGATGTGCAAAGTTATTTTTCACAAGTGCTTGCAGCCCGCCCATGTCGCCTGCATGTGGATGTGGCCATGTGGTTCTGTGGATTTCCGTTAACTTATGGTTAGCAGTCTCTATGTGTGCATCCTGCCCCCATCCTGCTGTTCTCATTCTCATTCTCTTTCCAGAATTTTCCTATTTTTATGCTGTGCAAATGACAGCAATTTTTCATAGGGCAAAGCGCTTGCAAAACTCCCCCCAGATCTCGTTTGCCATCGCTGTGCCCACTCCCCGTTGTTTCCGTTGTTGTCTTTTGCGAGGTGCCAAGTGACAATAATTTTGTCTTTCCCTGCCAGCCGAAGAGACAAGCCAGACCCACACGCTAACCCTCTGTAGGGGCTTTTGTTTCGCTGTCACTGCCTAATTGCCAAGATTTTGTGCTGCTTGGTAGACCGAGAGAGGAACCCCGGTTCAGGCCAACGGCCCCAGCACCAATCCCCCTGCAAAACCTTAAATCGTGAAGTTCAGAATACCCCAAAGCGCAGCTTCCTTAGTTTATTACACATACGCCCTGTGGTTTCACAAAAAAAGTATTTAAATGGAGTGCAGCGTAATCACATTATTTGTAATCGCAAGCTGCTATCATTTGTAAAGCGTGGCTGCTTGGCTGTTTTTATTTCAAGCTGTTATTACATTTAAATGTTTAATACTATGTAAAGCAAAAAACAAAAAAAACACTTTACATAAAGCTATGTACATTCCGAAAACCCTTAACTAATGCTTCAAAGTAACACCCACACCCAAATTCCCTTAGCTTGTTATTTACAGTTACGAATCTAATGCATAAATTGTCATTATTACCATAGATTAAGAATGTGTTTGTTTCCAAACTTTCTGCACACTCAAACCATCCCTGACTATTGAAAACTAGCATTAAGCCACTTTAGCTTATGGTCCCCTATTAATTTATATTTCTATTTCGATGGATCTTTTAAGCCCTAGATCTCAAAGATCTCAAATTAAAGCAACAACTTGTGCGTTATTTTTATTGAATCATCAAAATCAGGCGCTGAATAAGTCGAACGCTTAAATCGCTGGCTCGCAACTACTCATAACTGTTTGGCTTGCTGTGAAAATATCAATAAAGAAAACTAATGAAGTGCGCGCTGCCTTAAGTGGCTTATTGTCACTTTGACACCCACACATGCAGTGGGTCCTCATATATATACATATATGTATGCCTGTGTGTGCGTAATGTCAAAGGGCAGACGCATGTCGAGGACTCAAGGGGAAGAAGGCAATAGAGTCACGCTGTGCCTGTGTGTGCGTGTGACTGTGACTCGTCGCATCATAAAATCCGCACTTATTACTCCTTTTATGCAACTAAATATGTACACACAAGTAAATAGCCAAGGGGGTGTGAGTGTGTGAGATTGTTCGCCTGTGTGTGTTTACTTACTTTCGGTTAAGTGGACACTGTCACTGGCTTTCTTCCTTGAAGCTGGATGTACTGAGAAAAAGGTTATCACTTTGAAACTAGCTTTGAATAGTTTGGTATAGTAACAAATTTGTTTACACATATAAAGGGACAATGAAATATAAAATTAGTAAGTAATATTTTAAAAAATCTTTTTATTTATATTTCATTAGGAACGGATTTTTTCGTAAGCAATTAAAGAATGCTTGTTAAATGCAGTGTTATATATTTTTTTCACAAATTTAAATCGGTATTTAAGTGACTATAGCCATTTCTTTCTTTTAAATTTATTTTAGATATTACAGATAATTCAAGTGTTAATCAACTTTAAAATCAAATCCATAATAAGAAGATTTTCTCACAGTGTACCTGCCCTTCTGCTCTTAAGTTTTGGGGCTATTAGCAGCCAGCCAACATCCTTCGGGGTCAAGAAGCCGCCATCCTGTGGCTCTTGTCTCGGTCCTTCCACACAAGGACTCATATAGTATAATGGCCGGTCAAGTGCTGGCAAAATATTTGCACTACGTCATTGACTGAGTAAATGCAATTCATTGGACTCATAAATTGCAAATCGCGGGGTATAAAAAGAAAAACAAATAATTAAGAAAGGCGATGGATTTAAAGAAAACAGCTTTTCGTAAGAGAAAAGCTTGTCAGGGAAAAGCTTCAGAAAATCCCTTATCTAGCTTTTCCGAACAGCTAAGTTCCATTTAAAAGGTCGTTGTCTAAGAAACATTTTTTTTCGGAAAAAAGCCAAATGTAGATGGCGCTTCACCATAAAGAAGTCCAAAGGGGCTTCCTCAAAACTGATCTGTCTAAGAGATTAAAACCTGGATTACAGCCAAATTACTTCCGCATTTACCATGATTATATTTTCCGCTTAACATTTCCATTTCCTCCACCAACCCACCAAAAAAACTTATTCAACAGTTATTACGCTTAATTTGAAAACATTTAATTACCATTAATTATATTTTTGTATAATTACATTTTCTGTTTTATTGTTTCATTTATATGCTCATAGTGCATCATATATTATGCTTAGTAAAATCACGCAAATGTTTCATTAAAAATTGATGCCTTCATTTTTGTAACGTTGTAAAGAGAACGACGTGATGTTTGGGGAAGTCGTTATTGCTTTTGCTGTATCCATGGCTATTGTTGCAATTATAGTCGGGCAGTTGATGATTTTGGTTGGCCTTTTGTTTTAGTCAGCTTCCCCATTGCGGTTTAATTAAAATTATGAACTCGCTTAGTTGGCATTAAATAACAAATAAAATAAGATCTACATGCGATTTATGTAAAAAAGTTCATTTTTTGTTTTCGTATTTATCCTCTCATTTGTGGTTCTTCCTCCTGGTGTATACACTTAGCAAAAATACGCATTACAAACTATTAGCAGTGTTGCCCTCAAGCGGGCGGGGGGCGGTAGGTGGAGGAGGACGAGGCGTGGTGTACACACATTTAAAACCTAAGAATATCATTCGCACTCGATTTGAGAGAGGCGGAGCATTGGTGATCCATGCAAAGAAGAAATTATCCATTGTTCTTTGAATTTCCCACTGTATTTTAGTATCTAAACTGTCCCTTCTTCCCCCTCTCGTTGTGGTAGACCCTCAGTGGTGAGTAGCTGCCATTTCCGTTTCCATTGAGTGACGCTCCGGCTCCGTTTCCGTTTCCGGCTCCATTGCCATTGCCAGCCCCGTTTCCAGTTCCGGTTCCAGTATTGCCAAAGTTCTGGGATGCTGATCCGGAGATCAACTCCTCGGAATGCTGTGGCTTGGCGGTGCAGCGTGGAGCCAGCACCAGGTTGTAGATCCCGAAATAAACCAGAGCCACGACGCAGGCCACCACGGCCAGCCATTGGTAGGTGCAGGACCAGGCCCCCAATTTCGGGTCTCTCTCGTCGCGAGCTAATCCAATCAGAGCTCCAAAGCCTTTGCCTGAAATGAGTAATAGAAGTTAGAAATAAGTATCTCAGAAAAATAGATAAACAATATTTGTATACGGTTTTGAGCATTCCTTAACTTTGAGAATGTTCAAAAATCAGATTATAAGCTCACAAAATAAACATACCGAAACAAATAAATTTATTTTTTTCCAAAACTAAAATCATTAATATCTCTATTTTTTTTTCATTTTCTGATTTATAAAGTATAAAACCAAGCCGGGTCATTAACATTTCTCTGTTTATACATTTTACTAAATTTTAATAATGGGTTATTACTTTATTATTATTATTATTTTAAATCATATTATTTATTACTTTTCAATACATTAAGAGTAAAAAATCTTTTCTTAAATATATATATATAAATTTCCCTTAAATTTCCGGCTTAAATATTTTGAAATTTTTGTTTTTACAAAACTTACCCAATCCGAAAAAGGCCAAAACAGCGATGGCCTGTCCAGTGGCAGTCAATTTCCTAGGCATGGCATGACGCATGTACAGGATGATCGTGATCCAAATGAGACCGATGGCAGCCGGTTCGATGATCTCCATGATGACGGTCAACCAACGAGTCTGGGGATCACTCAACGCGGTGAATCTAATGACATAGATAGCCAAGCCGCCGATGAAGATATTCGAGTGGCCGCAGTACTCGATGAACTTGTCCACATTGAAGAAAAGGACCACAATGAGGAGTAAGCCCGAATAGCACAGGGCGTTCGGATCGTAGAAGGTCCAGCGCAGGAAGCTGTGAATGCTGCTCCAGAAGGTGCCAAACAGAATGGACACCATTGTGAGAACAAAGATCTCGGGACTATAGCGCCGGATGGCGGACATGGGCACCACCAGCATTCCGGTCTTCGTGTGCCACCACCATTCTGGAGGACTCAGTGGCATCTGAGATGCACAGAGCAGCACTATGGCACCCAGAACAAAGCTTACAATAAATATTATAAGAGCAACAAGAGCAGCATCCTGATTCGGTTCGTTCTCGAAGAAGATCAACTCCAGTGGCGAGAAGAGCACCACATAGCCAATGGCACCCCAAACATACTGGCGGCACACCTCTCCCCTGCCCTCGGAAGTCTCACGCACGGCGATCACGATGGCTGTGTTCAGCAGGGTCAGTGCGGCCATGGGGAAAATATCCCCAATCAGGCGAATGGTTGTATAGCCCACCAGGGTTTCCTGCACACTGCCAGTGGTCTATTGATTTTGGACAAATTAAATTAAATTTTTACAAAAATTAAATCAAATACTCACATTTGTACACTCGCTGTCCGAAAGCACACTCTTCTCATGGTAAGGACTTACCACCTGGCACTCGATCATCGGCTTGCAGTTACTGTCGTTCAGGCTATATTGTTTAAAGTCCTTCATGTAAGTCACCTGCTCTGCAGGAATGTGGCATTGGAAACCCTCTGAAAAAGAGAACATAAAGTTAAAATTATTAAACAAAATTTATACAAAATTAAAATTATTTTATAGATTATAATTTTCAATAAATGTGGCTTTTCTTTTTCCTTTTAGCGATTTTTTTTAAACAAAACCCAAATTGGAAATTTCTTGATATATCTTTAAACTGGTTTTACATTTAACTCACCCAGCGGATACTGACACCACCCTTCATAGTCATCATAGTGCTCCTCCTGACTGATTGCCGAGCCCATGACAGCATCCATGACCACGCTGGTGGTGTCCTCGGTGTAGGCGTGGCAGTGCTTGACCACATCCTTGCCGTCCTGGTTTCGCTGAGTGAGACAAACGTGCGGGGGCTGGACGTAGACCTTGGTGGGGGGCCTCTTCACCTGTCTGGTGGACCGGTGGAGTGGCAACTCGCCACTGATGCTCTCGACGCCAGCACTGTCCGCGGGGTCCAATCCCTCCAAGTCCCTCCTGACGCGCAAGCTTTCCGTGACCGCAGTGCTGCCCTCGTCCTCGTAGTCAAACTCTGAACTCTGCTCCGTGGAAGGGGCCACCGTGGGCACCTCCGCCAACCAGGCAACATACAGTGGCTCATAGAGCTTGGGATTCTGGCAACTGTAGGTGCAACGGGTCAGGTTGATGGCACCCTCCTTATGCTCCCACATGCTGCAGCTGGAATTCGAGCCACAGCGCTCTTGGAACAGGAATCCTCCGGTTTCGTCGCAACCAAAGCTGACCAGTGGCTCTCGGATTTCTCCCCGCCGGCTGACATCCGGGACAGCAAACAGAAAAGCATAGATTAAGGCCGAGATCAGCAGGAAAACGGCAGTCATCACTCGCAGCGTGCGTCCAAATGTATTCGGGTTCCTGGCCGCTAGGCGATCCGCCCAAGGACCAGCGATCAAAGGACCCAAAATGGAAACAAACGGCGCCAATATGGTGATCGTGCGGTACTCCGAGAAGTCCAGACCCAAAAGCAATGGCTTTGTGGAATGCAAAACATGCAAAGCTGTTAGGCCTGTAATATATGAATGATTTTAGTAAAATATTTAACAACATTTCATTGCCAATTAATATAAATTGGGCCACCGAAAAATTTTTTTTATAATTAATTGAAGCCCACCGACATTTGCATACTTAAATTATTAACTATATGTTGAAATTGTTTAAGTGCCAGCTTAAAGCTTTTCTTAAAAACTCACCGGTGATGACAAAGAATACGACAAATTTGAGCGATATCAACGTTCTGTTGACACGCGGTTTGTGCGCCGCAATGAAACCCATTTCCTCGATTTGGGTGTCTACAAACTATGTATAGATAATCTCAGTAATTAAGCCACCTCTCGGGGGTCTCGTTCTTCCTCGTTAATTTCTTCTTCGTTTCGTTTGGATTCAGTTGCTCATGTTAAACTCGATGGGTTCTGTAAAAAAAAGAGACGCAGTTAATAATAATTACCTAATAAGAAAGATAAAATGTCTAACAATTTCTGAGATGTAAAGAGAAAACAACAACACATCAAGACATTGAAATAGTAGGGCCTCACGCAACCACAAAAGTCACAGACACCAACAGTAAATAATACCAACTTGCTGGCTCCCAACTGAAACCGCATAAACAATAAGATATCAGAGGCTGTAAGCCCTATTTATGCACTCTCTACCAAATTACACATGAAGCTTCTCTGCCCAATTTGTGGGGATATCAAAAAGCAATCAAGCCATTTGATGCCACCCATCATCGATGATAATCGGCGGGCAAACACAACATGCTGAAAATCGTTCGAGAGCTCGTTCAGAGACCCCCCGTTTCAAATATAACATAAATATATGCGTGTCACAATGGGGTGTCAAAAATAAACAAGTGTCAATAGGCAATAGGCCACAGTCGACATTCATAACACACATACGCACCATTGCACAGCAGCATTCGGGGCAACAACATAACTAAAATAACACAGTAATTGAACACAATGGCAGCAGCAAAACAGTAATGAAATCAATATTGTATCTGCCCTAGACATAAATTTAAATTAACTGTCAACCAAATTGTCAATGACACGTAGCTTTAATCATCAGCAAACTATTTGCTGGAGATTATAGTTAAAGGAAAGGCTTCGGGGGTTATTGTGCTATAAACAGCTGCAATCAATGTTATAGCACTTAAGATGCCTTCCGCAAAATGCAAATATCTTGCAAATTGTATTATATTTTTATGAACTGTATGAGTTATTATCAGGATAGTAAAACATGTTTGAGTTTTTCGAGTATACAGAAATATTCTTAAAATTAATCATAAATAACTATAACTTAAAATCTTTAAGAATTCTAGACATTTAAAGTGAAAGAAATGTTTTTTTTTTTAATTTTACTTTTTAATTTTACAGATCTGCTTTCTATGAGTAATTGAACTTGAATTATTAAGTGCTGAGAGTGACTTCTTGTTTTGTATGCTATTTATTGGACCCCTTCTGTACGCTTAATGCAACCACTAGACAGTGCGTTAAACCCACTCGACAAGTAAATTGCTTGATAATGCCTAAAACGCATGTGTCGAGAAAGAAGCCCACTCTTTCGCCGTCTGAATTGCAATTTGCAAGATGATACTTAAAGTGAGCTCTGTTCCTCAACATTGACAATGGGACTCGGAAAGGAAAAGGAAAGTGCCAGACGACGGTGATCATATTTGCCAACTGCGCAGCCCCGCGCGAGAACTCAGATGGCAAGAAACGAGATTTAAGTAGTTTGTGGCAAAACCGGTTGTTTGGCTTGTCGGCTAGGCAAATTACATCACCCCGAGCAAAAAGCGAAACATTTGACTGACTCTGCGTGTGATCTACGCCCCCAAAGGCAACAGCCCAGCCCAACCCAAGCGGAGGAAGGTCAGGCAGATGGACATCCATCCAGCTGCCATCTGCAAAATCTCACAGCGACCACCAGCTAATTGAACAACTCACACAGACTCCAAGGTCTGATTTACATACAATTTATAAAGTGCTAAGCTCTTAATGCTACACCGCCGCTAGGGCCAATCAATAATGTAAAATACGTCTGCCTTGCCAAAGGTCAAACTAAACAAAAACCAATTGATAAGTAAACAAAACATTTGGACCGGTCAATGAATCATCTAGTAATGCTCTGTTATCTTTTAAAAATAGATGAACACAAATCTGGGTTATCAGTTGATGGCTGCTAAAAATTTCCCTATCAACAAACATAAATACAAAATATTGCCGGCTTATCTAAGCATCAGTATTGAATTCAGCTGAAGGTACTACAAAAAGGTCAAACTGCCAAACAAAAGCCAACAAACTAGCAATGCATGACGTAATCCAAATAATAACGAAAACAATACGAGAGCAGCTATAAAAAATGTCGCTGTGTTTGAGACCGAAATTCAAATTAGTAACCAGCCAACGACCAGCAGCAAAAAATAAAACAACAAAAATGAAGCTTCAGTTTCAACTTAATGACAAAACGCCCCGCACGCACACACCCAAAAAAAAACAGAGCGAAGAAAAACTAAAAACCCCAAACAAAACCATCCAAATCCGAGCTCCACACACACACACACACCCCGCACAACCTGGACAGCCAGTGATTGCCCCACATGGGCACTACGTATGACACAGTGCGCTTATTTATGACCTAAGGTAAACTTTGGCCGGCGCTAGCCCCAGAAATGCCATAAGCTGGGAAATGGAAAAACAAAATGGCTGGCATTTCCCCATTGCGTGTTCGCTTGGGGGGCTTGAGATCGGTGGAAGAGGTGCCATCGGAGCAGTCCAAGGGAACTAGCCCCAGGCGAACATGCCCACGGGCATTGACAATTAACCATGCTGTATATAGTACACTATGCTACACATATGCGCAGGCGACAAGCATCTGGAAGTTGCCTACGAAATTAAACTTTTCTATTTTCAAAATAAATAATGCTTAGGCTTTTATAAATCCATTTCGTTATCTTTGGGACTGCGCTGCCCTTGACGCCTACGCATCTTTCAAGAAATTCAGCGGTGCCTTTCAAAATAATTTCATATGAGTTCCTCTTACAAAAAATATATTTGTTTTTTTTTTCTTTGAAATAAATAAAATGAATTTTTCCTTATAATAATTGAAATAGCTTAACCAATTAAAACCGAATTAAAAAACAAAATTATTGAATACTATCCACAAATAAAGCTTTATAATTTTCTTTATAACATTTCCATGATGGTTTTTACTGGCCATTTAAGTTGTATATTTTACACTTCAAAAATTGAAAAAGAGGTTATTTGTGCGTTTAAAATCACATTTATCATCTTTAACAATTCTTTTGTTTTGCCTTTTAGTTGGAGTATTTTCCTATCTGGTTTCCCAATCGACGGCTTTGCCGCCTGAGCAAATTATCCGAGTTTTCTTTTCGGTTTTTCGCCACACGTCCGCTTGCAACTTTTCCGCTTCGGTGGCGGCAGTGCCTCTGCCTTTTGTTTGTACTGCCAAATAAAAACCAACTGTGAGAACTCTGCGTGCATGTTGAGTTTTTTTTTTTTGTTTTTGGCGGGGAACTTGGTGTGGTAATTATGTACGAATGTGCCACCATGTAGCCACCCGAAAATAGAAATTTAATTACAAACGACGACAATCAGCATGACCCTCTGTTTATCAGTTGCCTAGTAAATCACTTTGTAAATGTCAATTAGTGATAAGGCCAAAGCCAGAGACCAAAAATCAAAAGACAATGAGGCAATATATTTGCGCATGCCTTATGCAAATCCTATTTGTTAGCATCGAATTGGCTGGGTTTGCAGTTGTTTGTTTATTCGTATTGTTTGCACAACAATTTTTAACACCTTTACGGGCAGCTGGAAATTTCAGTTTTTGGCAGCGACTAATATTTTTTCTTGGGTGCAATGTTTAGCCACAAAGTTGCGCCTTTTGCATTAGATCTCTCAAGACATTGTGGGTCAATTGGTTTTTATTTAGAATTTGTCTTTTTTTGGGGCTTGTGCTCAGACAGCGCGCCGCCCGCTTAATTATGCGTAACACGACTACAGAAAAATAGAAAAGCCGCAACAAAAGCCGCAACAAAAGCCGCTTGCATTTGGTTAAATTTATGAATGAATGCAGTGGCCTGGGCACACTGTGCCGGCTTTAATTAACATTTAAAATGCATAAATTGTGCGACCGTTCGAACTGTGTCAGCAATTTGGCTCCGAACATGGGCGAACAGAGCCTACGTGGGCCGATCGCCTCGGCAAGTGCAGCGTCATTGAAGGTCTAGACTCTAGACTCTCGAAAAGGTTCAATGAAAGTGAGGAAAATTTATTGGGGAACATTTGCATAGTTTCCCCTGGATGTCTGCCAGATTTTTCGGCCAGTCAATACACTGTTAATGTCTTGAATCGCCAGTAAACGCAACATTAACATTTTTCCCCATTTTCATTTCGGTTTCGCTCGAGCGTACAAAGCGTTAATTTCAATTGCAAACCAAATGGTGTATTTGCACATTTTGTGACACTTGCCTTCTGACATTTAGTCAGCATAAATTTCCCAATACGCAAATCAGTTTCGCTAACTTAGCTAAGCAAGTAACACATAATTTTGGATTTTCTATACTATTATACTTTGATTTTTTTTTGCATTTGTCTTCAATTGTATTGTTAGGTTGTACGTTTAATTGGGGCTCTCCGTTTGTTTACATTGTGGTCACGTAGCGAGGTTCTGGTTTATTTTCAGTTTTACTATTGCATTGGAACAACCTACACTCATAGACCCACACATTCAAAAATCTATAGTTGAATGAACGAATAAAGTACCGCACCGTTAATCAATTGGGTAAGTTATAGAGTGACTTATTGATGAATGCGTCGGGGAGTTTTAAGGCGAGGCGACATCGCACGCCTTCGGGACAAACCTTGGCGGTAGTTTATAAGGCCCATTTCCGTTAGGGCTCTGTTAATGATATTGTGCAATAGCTCATTGTTTTTGTGTGTGGTCTTTTTGAATGCGAGATTTGCATTGGCATTGCGAGTCTCAGTCCCCTGGGCATTATGGAAATGCCATAAAGACATTTTCCTGACTCACAATCGTGTGTTGACAACTTGTCTGGAATGCTGCCAGCACAGATCGGCCTTAACTTTTACACGTGGCTACAAAAAACAGTATTTATTAAAAAAAACACTAAAGTAACTTGAATAAAAGATTTACGAAGTCAATATTATTATACAACGTTACAATTCCATGACCTTTATTTTGTATTGTTTGAGCCAGTCAAAAATATATTGCAATGTTTTTTGGCACTTAAAATATTCCTTCATTTAATTTTACTTAATATCCAACTTTTTTTATTTAAAATCTTTAAAATTTATAGGTTTATTAATGTTTTTATTGCTCTTAGTATTGGCAGATCAAAGCGTGTTCAATGTACGAAGTAACTGCAGTC